CATCTGGAAGAACAAAAAGTCAAGAATATCAAGGGAATCAATGGAAAAAAACGTGAAGGAATGTGGCCTAGCCGTACCAAATCTAAAACTATTATTATAAAGCAGCAATCATTAGAACTATTTGATACTGGCCAAGAAATAGAATGGCAGATCAATGGAATGGGTTAGGTACAAAAAGACACAGTAGTAAATGACTATAGTAATCTACTGTTTCACAAACCCAAAGACTCCAGCTTCTGGGATAAGAACTCACTATTTAACAAAAACTGTTAGGAAAATTGGAAAACAGTATGGCAGAAACAAGGCATAGACCAACATCTCACACTGTATACCAAGATAAGGTCAAAATGGATACTTAATTTAGACAAAAAGGATGATACCATAAGCAAATTAAGAGAACAAGGAATCATTTACCTGTCAGATCTATGGAGAAGGGAAGAATTTATGACCAAAAAAGAGATAGAAAACATTATGAAATCCAAAATGGATAATTTGGATTATATTAAACTAAAAAGTTTTTGTACAAAAAAACCAATGCAATCAAGATTAGAAGGAAAGTAGAAAGTTGGGAAAATTTTTACAGCCAGTGTTCCTGATAAAACACTCATTTCTCAAATAAATAATGGAGTCAAATTTATAAAAACATAAGTCATTTCCCAATTGATAAATGGTCAAAGAATAGGAACAGGCAGTTTTCAGACAAAGAAATTAAAGCTACCTATAGCCATATGAAAAATGCTCTAAATCACTATTAATTAGAGAAATGCAAACTAAAACAATGCTGAGGCACCACATCACACCTAACAGATTGGCTAACATGACAAAATAGGAAAATGATAAATGTTGGAGAAGATGAGGGGAAAATTGCAACACTAATACATTGTTGGTGGAGTTGTGAACTGATCCAACTATTCTGGAGAGTGATCTGGAACTAAGCCAAATGGTTATAAAACTGTGCATACCCTTTGATCTAGTAATACCACTACTAGGTCTGTATCCCAAAGAGATCATAAAAATGGGAAAAAGTAACCTACATGTAGAAAAATATTTATAACAGCTATTTTTGTGGTGGCCAAGAATTAGAAATTGAAGGGATGCCCATCAATTGGGGAATGGCTGAACAAGTTGTAGTACATGAATGTAATGGAATACTATTGTGCTATAAGAAATGATGAGCAGGAAGATTTTAGAAGAACCTGGAAAGACTTACATGAACTGATGCTTAGTGAACAGAAACAGAACTTTGTACACAGAAACAGCAACACTGTTCAATGATGAACTATGACAGACTTAGTTCTTCTCAGCAATACAATGATCAAAGACAATTCCCAAAGAAGACTCGTGATGGAAAATGTTATCCACCTTCAGAGAAAGAACTATGGAGTCTGAATGCAGATCGAAGCATACTATTTTTACTTTTTTCATTTTGTTTTTCCCTTTTGTTCTGATTCCTCTTTCACAACATGACTAATATGGAAACACATTTAACATGATTGTACATATATAACCTATATTGCTTGCTGTCTTAGAGAGGGGAGAGGAGAGGGAGGGAGCAAGAAAAATTTGAAAGTGAAAATCTTATAAAAATGAATGCTGAAAACTATCTTTACATGTAATTGGAAAAAATAAAATGCTATTAAGTGGGTAAAAATTTAAAAAAAAGAAAAGGAAACTTAGAACCAGAATGTGGTGAATGCTGGGTTAGGAAGTTTGTACTTTTTTCTATAAAGAATGTACAAATAAAGTGGGGGGGAGGATGAGATGGGGAGAACAACAATTCTACTGAGATCCCCTTTGCTAGAGATCTTCAAACAAAAGGTAGATAGCAACTTCTCAAAGATATTAAAGAAAGAACTCTTATTCAAGTATCAATTAGACTACAAGGCCTCTACAGGCCTTCCAGGTCTGAGATGCTGTGATTTTGTGAATTTAGGAAACAGAAGTAATAAAACTTTTCTTCACGAAAAAAAAAAATAAAGAATATGCAAATACTAAATATTTTTGAGCAAGGAAGTGATATAATCAGCAGTACACAGAGATCACTGACAGGGGTATGAAGAAGAACTAGAGCAGAGGTATAAGTCAAATGTTATAGCCCAGACCAGGGACAACAAGGGTGTTTGAACCAAGGTAGTGGCCATGGGAATGGAAAAGGCCATGGTAAGAGAAAGCTATCACAGGAACAAAATCTGATGATGAGAATCGATTGGGTATGGGAGAGAACAAAGTTTCAAGGGTGACTGCAGCTAGGCTAATATGTTCCATCAGCAAAAAGTGAGACAATTAGAGGTAAGATTTAAAGAGTAAAATGAATTTAAGATGTGCTAAAAGCTTGTGCTAAGATGTACTAGGTCTGGTGTCAGGAAGACTTATCTTCCGGAGTTCAAATCTGGCCTCAGACATTTCCTAGCTGTGTTACCCTGGGCAAGTCACCTAACCCTATTTGCCTCAGTTCCCTCTTCTATAAAATAGGCTGGAGAAGAAAACGGCAAATCAGTTCAGTATCTTTGCCAAGAAAACTCCAAAATGGGGTCACACAGAATTAGACACAACTGAAACAAATGAACAAGTTTGACGTACTGGTGGAAAATACTAGTAAAGATATCGAATAGGTAGGTGGGAACACAGGTCTGGAAACTGGGGAGAAGGTAAGCCTAGAGATGTAGAATTGAGAGTCATCCAAATAAAGGCTGAAGTCATAAAATACATGAACAGTCTAAGGAAGAAAGAACAGGAAAGTGAGGAGCAAGCCATAGGGAAAGTATTTTTAAAGTAAAAAGAGAAAGAAGTCAAGAAAGGGAAAGGGAAGAAACTGTCAGATACAGGAAGACTATAAATGCAAATAGAAAAGGGGGAGGTCAACACTGCCAAGTCCTGCAGAGTGTCAACAGAGATGATGAGAAATTAAAAAAAGGTCCTTTGGTCCAGAAATCAGTAGTCAGTGATCACAGAGAGAGATGTTTTAGTACAGTGAAACTGAAGGCAGAGTGGATTGCAAGAGCTAGGAGTGTAGAGTGTATAGGTAATGAGGAATAAGGTACATCAAGTATAAATTATTTTCTTTTAAAGGTCTGGCAAGAAGTGGGGAGGAAAAAGAACAAATCTTAGTAAAGTAACTTTAAGGAAATATTACCTGTACTTTTTTTGACACATTCCAATAGCTCCAAACTACTCCCTAACATAAACCCCTCACTCAAGCCAGCAAATCTCACTCTCTTAAATACGTCATGCTCATTCCTGGCTCCAAGTCTTTGTTCATTCTCTTCTCTCCTCCCTCATACTATTCAAATCATCTCTTCTGCATCTTGATCCTGGTCAATTCAGAGCCCTGCCAGAAATCCTTCCCTGGCCACCTCAACACTGACTGCTTTCTTCCTCACCCAAACTTCCATAGCATCCACTATCTATACATTTATTTTGTCCTTTAATACCTGCACTGTTAATGACCTGCTCTATTTTTACTATTAGATTATAAGCTTGTATACATCTCATACTTTTTTTCATAAATCATCTCTACCTCCAGTGGCTGACAGTAGTTTGACTGTAGTAGGTATTAAATAAATACTTGTTGCATGAACTGGCTTTGGTACAGGCCTGCTGCTTTTTACTCATTAAAAGAATGTAAAGGCTCAGATTCCTAAAATCTAACCACTGCTCAGATTCTCAGAATCTAGCCAATACTTGCAGACTCAGCAATACGGCGGGTCTTTAATAAACCTTGTCTTTGGCTGAAAAACAAAAATAAAGAACGTAAAACTGAAACTGAGGGAAAAAAATCTAAGAAATTATGAGTATCCAATTCTAAAATATAATTCAAAAATATATGAAGCGAAACTGGACTACTTTCAAGTCAAAGTACTGCGCTTTACCAGTGTTTTTCCTGGAGTATCCAATTCTAGAATATAATTCAAAAATATATGAAGCTAAATTGGACTGCTTTCAAGTCAAATTACTGGGCTTTACCAGTGGTTTTCCTGGACACTTATACACAGGATTAATGGGTTGTTATCATCTCCCCAAAGCCACACACTCCTATACTGTGGTCTCCTTCCACTAGAGTGTGAACTCCTTAAAAGCAGACACTTAATCATTTTCTAACTGTATTATTTAAAACCTTGCTTGGCACAAAGTAAGTTCTTGATAAACTCATTCATTCATTCAATCCTAAAGTTTCTTTTCAATTAATAGTTTCAACCTCCTCCTATATTATATAACCTTTTGCCAAATCTGCTAAATAAACAAATAATTTAATTACTAAATGATTTAAATTTGATCTCTTAATGTCTCATTCACTTGACAGAAATGCTATAGGTTTCATTAGCTAAAAATCAAGAGCTAAAGAAAAACCAAGTAACTTAGAATCTGCATAATTCCACAAGGCATCTTTAAATAATAACTAGTTATAATAACTTACAATAGAAAGCACATTGGATATGGAGTCAGATGACCTATAGTCAAATTCTAGCTCTAATGGACTACTGTGAAACCCTGAGTAAGTTACTTTTCTTCCCTGGTCCTGCTGTCTCATTTGCTTAAAAAAAAAAAAAACAAAATAGAGAGGGTAAAGGATATACTAAGAACTTTAGAAATTTTTTTTTCTGCAAAAGTACATAGTAAAGGAGAGGGTGAGTCAAATTCTGAAACAAGCTAAAAGCTGCATGATTTAAGAAACCGGCTGAAGGCATATTATTACCCATCATAAATGAATATTGCTGGTGGCTATAAAATGAAGAATTTGACTAGCAGTAAACATACTAGCAGTGAACAACCCTGAGTGACTGGGAGTTCAAGAAGTGTATATTTATATTTTATTTTAAGATGTTAATTCAAGTCCCTTACCTTGTAGGCAAAGCATTAGTACCAAATAGGGTAATTAATCTAAAGCAATTTTTTTAAGATAGATTTTCTTCTAAAAAAATCAAACAACTTAAGTACATTCACCAAGGCTTTGAGCTTTCAGATTGAGCATTTACTGAGAGATGTTTCCCTACCATACTTACAGATTAGTTTTAAATTTATTGTGGGGAGGGATTGGATTCTTTGCTCTCATTTCCAGCACTTCCATGTAATGAGGTTTTCTGGGTGTGTTACCGTGATAACTACAAAAGTGATCCATGTTTGTGTCTTCTTCTGACTGGTTTTCATCATCACTAATTGTGATTCTTTGTAAACTATCAATAAACATGTCATCAGTGCTCCCTGAAACATCTCTTGCATGATTTAGAAAACCAGGTTGGTGGGACTGCTCATTTGTTTGTGAGGGCAAAGCCACAACAGTTTTATTGTTATTACACATCCACTTGTTGCACCGTGTAGCACTTTCTGACTCTCTGGCTTCTTCAAAACTTTTAGGAACAGGTCTTTCCATGGTAGATTCAATTCCCTGGTTTCTTGAGGCAATTTTAGATGACTTGCTTATAACTGTAAGAGAAGAATCAAGATCTGATGAAGTTTCCCTTCTCTGGTCAGGAGTCCATGGCTTATCCAGACCTAAACTAACTATTTCATGTGCTACAGTTTGCTGTGAATCAAAGTCCAATCTGTTAGTTCTTCTGAGCTCTTCATGTTTTCTGATGGCCAATTTCACTCTCTCAACGAAGTCAGAGATCTTTTTTCCTCCATCTGGCAAACTGCGAATGAATTTTCTAGGAAAAAGAAAGGTAAAAATATATTATTAAAAGCTATATTTTTAAAAAATCATGAGACAAAAAAATTGACATTATATCAAAACACAGGAGTTAGTAAGCTGAAAGTTTAGGTAAAAGGACTAATTTCTAGCTGGCCAAGAACTAGGAGCATTAAGTAGAGTAAGAATTGCTGAGGCTTCCAATGAAAATATTGGGGAGTGGAGACAGGGAGGCACAAGATAAAGAAGGGAGCCCTCAGCCAAACAGTTAAAGTATTTTAAGTTTATCACTATCATACTAATTAGATTAAGGGCTCAATCTCACAAATAGTTCAGAACACTAGCTTCTGTCTAGGGAGAAAAAACAACTTTTATACCCTTTCAGTGAATGTTCCCCAAGATACACACTCCCTTCTCCCTCCCCATTTCTTTTCCTCTTTCTTTTAGAAATCTCACCTATCCTATTTTATTTCTCACTCCCTCCCTTTAATATAGAATCAATATTATCTAAACCTATATCACCAACCTCTCTCTTGACCTTGAAGCCCCTTTTCAATTGCCCTTCAGAAGCTTGGATTTAAATATCCCCTCAGCTCAGACTCAGCATATCTAAAACCAAATTTTTTGTTTTAAATACAAAACCAACTTTCCATCCTGACTTTCTTATTATAATGATACCATTATTCTTAAAACTTTTAGTTAATCTCCTATTCCTCCCTCAACTCCAGATACAATAAGTAACCTACCTTCCTTTTTTCTCTTCTACTTTTCTTTTCATTCTACTGACTTCACCGAACTCCTACAGAGCCAACCTCCTAACCTGATCAGACCCCTGAGGACCATAATATACTTGGCCTACTACAATAACATCCTCACGTCTTTTCTACCAGACTTCCACTCCTCCAGTCGTTCCTTATATCACATTAATCATAATCCTTTCACCTCTTAAAAACAAATTGTTCAATAAGGTTCTGACCTTGGCCCTTTTCTATCTTCTCCCTACACCCTCTCCCATGACAATCTCATCCATCCACTCCAGTCTTCAGTTATCTCTACAGAGATGACTCTCCAACATACATCTTCCACCCATTTCCCAGAACTATGGTCATGTGTTTCCAATTGCCTATTAGGCATTTCTACCTATAAGTACCAATACCTCAGCATATCTAAAACAGCAACTGCTTCTTAACAGATATTTGTACCTCTATTTTTTTTTACAAATTTATTTATTTGTTTTTAGTTTTCAACATTCAATTCCACAAGATTTTGAGTTCCAAATTTTCTTCCCATCTTTCCCCTTCCCCCACCCCAAGATGGCATGTAAATTGATACAGGCTCAACATTACACATTCATATTAAACCTATTTTCACATTAGTTATGTTGTAAAGAAGAATTAGAACCAATGGGAAAAACCAGGAGAAAGAACAAAAAAGAGAGAGAGAGAGAGAGAGAGAGAGAGAGAGAGAGAGAGAGAGAGAGAGAGAGAGAGAGAGAGCGCAAATAATATGCATCGATCTGCATTCAGACTCCACAGTTTTTTTTCTGGATGTGGACAGCATTTTCCACCATGAGTCTTTTGGAGTTGTCCTAGATTCTTGCATTGCTAAGAAGAACTAAGTCTATCAAGGTCAGTCATTGCATAGATGTGGCTCTTTCCTACATGGCTGCATTTGAGTTCAAAAGACCTGCTATGAGACTGTCTCTGTATTTGTTCTTTCTTACATTTAAACGAAAGAGTACCAGAAACAGCCAGGACTTAGAGAACTTTGAAAAAGTCAGAATGATAAGCTTATCAGAGGTCCTGGAGTCAGAATCCACATCAGAATCTGGGGTCAGTCAAGCCCAGTTCACCACCCCAGACTAGCAGGGCTGGGCCCTAAGAGCAAGGGAGCAACTCTATCCATCAGCTTTTAGTTAATCTCGAAGCAAATGTAGTGGGGCAAATGCTTTGTAGAAACTGCATTAAGTTTGAGCCCACTCTCCCCAGGGACCAAGTTGGTAGAGAAACTATGCTTCCACGGCCTTGGGGAAAACCATTTATAATTTCTATTCCTGTTTCATCTTCTTAGTAAATTTTTTTTGTTAAAGTTAAACAGAGAAAGAGAGAGAGAGAGACAAAGGGAGAGAATCATATACACATAGAGGCATCCTGTATAAACATATGAGAAGAGAAAAAGTAGAATTCCACAAATTATATATATTCTATAGTAGAATACATCTGCACATCTGAGTAGTCACATGAGTTAAAGATCTAAGTAAAGAATATAAGATCCTACTTAACGTGTATTATTGTTGCCTATCCTCCAGTAAAGTGTCTTCCATGCATGTCAGAATCATATAAGATTCCTTGGAAAAGATCCCTTTGTTCAATGACCTCTGACTATTCAAATTAAGCAACACATAAAACAAGATAGGTTCATAAAAGGAATTCACTACTATTACAAAGGATGGGCAGCAAAAAGTCCAAATCAAAGAAGTATTCCCTAGAGATGACGAGGTCCTACAGCTATCTACAGTCTGTAGGTGATGTTGTGCTGACTGCATCAAGTCCTGGAATACTGCACAGAGATTAAGTAACTCTCCCAGGGTCATAGAGCTGGTAAAAGTCTCAGATGGACCCAGGTCTTCCTTACTCTTGGTCTAGCTCTCTAACTAGAGTTTAAAGGTAAAAGGGACATCCTTCTGCCTTCTATTCTGCCTATCTAAATTCCACACGCCCTTTAAAGGACATGCTTACACCCCATCTCCTCCATGAAGCCATTTCTGAACATCCCAGCTAGACAATCACTAGCAATAACAAGCAAGCAATCACTTTTTTCTCTATATTCCTAGAGCACATATTGTCTGAGCCACATCATTCCTCCATTCAATAAACTCCACGGTTTCCTCATTGCCTCTAGGGTTCAATACAAACATCCCATACATTTTAATTTTAAGCTCTTCACAACCTGGCTCTACTACGTTCCCAACTTTATCAGACATTACTCCCCTGCTTCATGTACTCCTTGGTCCAGCCAAATTAGCCTTACTGCAGCACTTCCAACACAACATTTTTCTGTATCCCATTTCCATGCCTTTATACAATCTGAACTCTTCGGTCTGGAATATATACTCCTTCCTCACCACCTCCAGGAATCCCTAACTTCCTTCACAGCTCAGCCCAAACACCAATTCTCACAGGAATTCTTTTCTAATTCACCTAATTAATGCCCCTCCCACTAATGGGGGGGGGATCCTTCATTTTACATATTTTTCACATATACTTATATGTGTGCATGTTAAAAAAAGCTCTTTGAGGAGGTCTTATACAAGATCGTGCCAGAAAACAACTGCCAAATCTTGCCAGTTTTTGGTGCAATTTGTTCTTACTGTAAAATAAGAGAACTGGATTCAACTGGCCTCTAAGGTCCTTTCAAACCATAAAGCTAAGATTCCAGGCACTTCAAGAAGCACTATAAATGCTCAGCAGCTAACATCTAGATAGCACTACGCTAAACGCTTTAGAACTATTATCTTATTTGATCCTTACAACAACTTCGAGAGATAGATATTGTATTCAGCATTTACTTACTGTTTGGCAGTACTCTATATAAGTCTCGCACGTATGTCCCCCCCCCATTTGAATACTATCTACCACCACCTTAGCCCCTCCATATGCAGGCAGAGGGAAAGAGGTCCCAGTGTTTCTCTGTAACATCTGGTTTCCCACTCCCAGCATAGTCTTGTTTAGCAAATGATTTACAAATACCATCTCACTTGACCCTCCCAAAAAAACCTCTGGGAGGTAGGTGTTATTATGATCCCCATATTAGTTGAGAAAACTGAGGCAGAGGGATTAAGTGATTTGCCCGAGGGTAACCCAGCTAGAAAATATCTGAAGCTGGGTCTGAACTCAGGTCCAGCGCTCCAAAAAGGGGAAGAGAAGGGAAAGGATAAATCACGTACATAGCGTCTTTATTTACATTTATATACCACACTTACATATAACTATGTTTTATGTATAACTATGTAACAGGCACTATACTAAGGACTTTACAATTTATCTCAATTGATGCTCACAACAGCCCTGTGAGGTAGGTGCTGTTATTATTCCCCATTTTACAGTAGAGGAAACTGAGGCAGACAGGTGAAGTGACTTACCCTGGGTCACCCAGATAGAAAGTGTCCAAGACGCATTTGAACTCGGGCCCAATGCTCCAGCCACAGCGCCCCCTCGCTGCTCATTTGGGGACTATCGGGAGTGACCCGATCTCGGGAAGGTCAGCAGAAGGGGCAGGTGGCACCGCCCTCCGCTTTCCCCGGCCAGGACCCTCCCGCCTCGCGGTTCCCGCACTCACTCGTTCCGCAGCAGTTTCTCTTGGCGCCCCAGCATCTCCCGAAGCTCCCCGAGGCTCCGCTTCCGGAGGTCCTCGGCGCTCCCGGGCGGCGCCAACGACATCCTGCCGGAGAGAACGTCAGCCAGGCGGAGAGCCCTCAGCAACCCGAGCCTGCCGAATCTACCAGTCCCACGGCGACCACTCGCCTCGGTCACTGGGGGACGCCATCTTACCGGAAGTCGTCATAAGATTCAATACCTGGAGAACTTTATTTGTATCGAAGGCCTGGACACGGACAAAGCCAAACAGGCCACGAGACCTCAAGCGAGACAAGGGAAAACGGGGGAAAAAATGGGGGAGTGCGCAGGCGCAATCAGACCCTCCCTGTGCTGGGAACCTGCAGCACCTGGGAGCGCTTTGAGATTGTGGCAGAGAGAAGTATCAGTGCATGTGGGCAGGATTTTGGATGGCCAGATCGCATTTAGAGCGGGAAGGAATCTTAGACATCGGCTTATCTAACCTCATTTTTACAGATGGAAGAAAAAAAAACCGAACCCCAGAGAGGAAGAGTGACCCTGCCTTAGCCCAAAGTCACAGTCAGAGCAAGGATCCGACCCAGTCCCCAAAGTCCAACCCAGTGCTGTTTCTTCTGCACCCAGGATACCTCGCTTCAGTACGCCTTTGCATTTCAGGGGACCTAAAAAGGATTACCTGTTAGAGGCAGCCTCTGCTACCCTGGGGTAAACATGGGGAGTCAAATGCTGGCCCTGGAAATTTTACATTGAATATGTACTCTGTGCTCATCATCTCTCTCCTATTGTGACAGGGTGTATTACCAAAACTGGCTCTCCCTGTCTCAAGAGCATGGATACATTTGCCCGTGTTAAAAATGCGTTTTGGTACAAGGGTGATTTTAAGGCAGAAGAAGTTTAGGAGCACATGTAGAGAACACGTATGTCACAGAAGGGCTGCATGATGAAGTGACAGGTGACCTGGCCCTGAAACCGTGGTTTCAGCATCCATTTCTGATACATATCTTGGACAAGTCTTGCTGATGTATGTAATTATCAGAATATAATTTCAGAGATTGCTTTCTTTCCTTGGTAAAAGGAATTTCTTCATTCAAGAGTTCCCTGTACCAATGAAATCAAAAGTCCAGTCACATTTATGTAGACTTCTGTAAACTTTTCAAGTGCTATCCTCGCAACAACCCTGTAGGGTGCCTAGCTCTTATTATTCCCAGTCTGTAGAAAGGAAACAGGGAACTATAGGTTAAGTGACATATCTAGTATGTGATGAAACTCAGTGAAGTCAACAAGAATTTATTTAAGCATCTACTGTGCTAAGAGGGAGGAAGCCAAAGATGAGAAGGGACAGTGTTCCAGACATTAGGGACAGCTAGTGAAAATATCTGGAATTAGGAAATAGCAATGAAGTTAAGTGTAGAGTATACAGCAGCCAGTAAGGTGTAAGAAGATTGAAAAGACAGGCCATGTTATGGAGGTCTTTGCATAACAAACAGGGTATTTTATATGGGAGAGGAGAAGAAATAATCATTTATATAGCACCTACATGCCAGACCCTTTACTAAAAGCACTTTACAAATATTACCTCATTTGATCCTTGTAAGTAGGTGCTGTTATTATTATCCCCATTTTAAGTTGGGGAAACTGAGACTAAGTGACTTGTCCACAGCTAGAAAGTATCTGAGGTGGTATGTGAACCCACAAGTCTTCCTGACTCCAGGCCCAGCTCTATATCAGAAGCTGCCACCTTGTTGACTCATTTTATTTGATGATATTTGATCCTGGAGGTGATAAACAACACCTCAAGATGATTGACTGGGGAGGGGGCAGCATAATCAGAACTCTAGGGAAATCAATTTGACAACTGAATCATGTCTCCTGATTCCAAGCCCTGTGAAGCTGTTTAAAGCCAATTGTATAGATCAATAATATTCCCTGCTAGGGTATAGATGTGATCCATCCTACTTCTGCATCCTGTGCTCAAATTGTTATCATCTTTCTGTAACTCCACAGTGGGAGCTAGGTACCCATCACCTTGGGGCCTCCCTTTGGGTTTCTTAACATTAGATGAACACTGGTATGGAGTAGGGGCTGTCTCTCCATATAATGGACATAACACTGGAATTAGAGTCAGGTTAGATGTGGGGTTCTAATCTCACCTTTGATATCATCCCATTCTGACAATGGACAGCAAATAAACACCAAATGAAATTCCAGTTAATGAGCATAGATTGTCTACTACATGCAAGGCACCAACTGTGCTAGGAATACAAAGACAAAAAAAAATCTGGCCTCAGAGAGCTTTACACTCTACTGGAGGGGTACGACAAATGCACAAACATTTAAATACCAGGTAATTTGTGGAAAGAAACAATCTTAACTATGAAGGATCAGGGAAAACTTAATGAAAAAATAATACCCAAACTGAGCCTTATAGACATACAAGGATACCAGAAGGAAGGTAAGAAAGGAGAGCATTCCAGCCACAGGAGCATACCTGATGCAGATGTATGAGGAAGTATAAGATAGAATGACAAGTAAGGGGAACAACCTAGTAATAATCTAGGTTGGCTGGAAGTTTAATTGTATGAAGGGGAGAGGTAAGGGCTAAAAAGATCAATTGAACCCAGATTTAAATGCCAGGCTAAGGAGTTTACAATATATCTTGGGGGGAAATTAGGGTATTAGTAAAGACTTTTGATCAGGAAAGTGAAATGGCCACACTTTTGACTTAGGAAAACTGTTTTGGCAGCTGTATGGAAGACAGTTTGGAGAGGGGACCAGTTGGAAGCCACCATAATTATCCATCAAGAGCTCTTGAACTAGATTGGTAGTAAGTGGAGAGAAAGGAAGAGATTTGAGAGGTATTATGGAGAGGAATGCAGTTGGCTAAAAATGAGGGAATAGTGAAAGGGAATCATCAAAGATGACTGAGTTTACAAGCTTAGTGACAGAGAGGATGGTAATTCCCTGTATGTAAATAGAAAAGTTTTAAGGAAGGATGACGTGCAGGGGAAAAATGATAAGTTTCCTTTCAAATATGTCTTATTGGAGTTGCCAAAGGAGCATATCTACATAAAGAGTTCCAGAAAGGAGCTGGAGATAATGGAGTTCAACATAGAGACTAGGAGTGGATATTTAGATTTGAGAATCATCCAAATAAATATGATATATAAATCCACAGAAGCAGATGAGATCACTAAGGGAGAGAATATATACCAAGAAGAGTACCCAGGACAGAATACTGAGGAATATCCACCTTTTGGCTATGTTTGGTTTTTTTCCCTGGATGTAATGAGACAAGAATAGGACCACTCTGTTTATGCAGAGACAACAAATCCATCACAAAATGTCATAAAAAATCTGAGGCTTGGAGTATAGAGGTAGCAAAGGGATGGACTGCCCTTATGATGGGGAGAAAATTCTACTAGATAGAGCTCAAGACTTGGCAAAGTGCTTCCCACAATAGGACTGGAGCATAAATCACCTAGGTTCACCCTCTGGATCTTGCCTATGCATCCTAAATAACCTAATGTGCCACAGTTGCTTCTCCTCTAGAATATGAAGGAAGTCTGGTAATGGGAATATTTTAATGGTTGTCCTGGGTATTAAAGCAGATCCCCCCATCCTCTTCTGAACACTTTGGGGCTACAATTGTCCTCATGTTGGGAGCAGGAGTAGAGTGAGGACCAACAGCTATACTGACATTTTATCCAAAAAGAAAAAGTAGGTACTGTGGCATGATGGGAATTGGGTGCCACTATGAATGATGGATTGCACTCCCTCATAATGATAAATAGGTTTGGGTGCGCCCCCACAAGGGGAAATGTTTTAAGATAAGGAAGATATGGTCCCTAGTCCAGAGAAGTATCAAGTAATGTGATTCCTAAATAACAAAATTTCTTGTTAGTGTCTCCTAATGTGACTGGCCCTATCTTTGGTCTAGATATTTTGAAAGAGTGGAAGAGGCACTAGAGTGGTGGCAGGGAACCTGTGGCTTTAAGGTAGTTTTGTTCTGCAAAATTTGGATTCAATCAAAAGGCCATACTTAAGGCTCTAGAAGGCCACATGTGGCCTCACAAAGCCACAGGTTCCTCACCCCTGCACTACAGGGTCTGTACCGAAGAGGATTCATATGCTTCAGAAATGCTTAATGATTCCCACAGAGATCCCAAGTCTCAGGGTCCCGAAGAGCCTCTGGATTTCTAGAACTCAGACATCAAGAAGCAAGTCTTTGCTTCATGTGCAAAGTATGTTGTGGATATGCTTCATCCCTAGCCATGTCAGGATGAGGCTAAAGAGCTAGTGCTCAGTGGGGGAGTTCAGTTCAGACACCAAGGTCAGTAGAAACCAACCCAAAAGGTATAGGAAGAATGGCAATTATAAATATCACAAGAATGTTGTGATGAACATACATCTTAACTTTTATGTTTCTAGATGTCATTAATTTTGGTAAAGACAATAAAATAATTTGTTTTAAAAGTCACTTTGTAAAAAGCAATTCAAAAACAATCATAGATAACTGAAATTTTCAGCAGTTACATCTCAATACAATTGTCTTAAATTTTTATAGTCATTTTAAAAAGTAAAATAATGTGCTATCATAATAATCATAACCAGTTTGAAGGAAAAAAAAAGTCTATCAGAGCAGCTGAAACTAGTACAAACAAAAGCAGTAGAGATAACTTCAGTGGTAGAAATATAGAAACACGAAATCAGAATCCAGAAAATACAATCTATTTTATTTATTGTTGGAATTCACAAGAACTGTTCCTAATGAAGAAGAAAGAGCTGTTTGCTTTTGCGTGAATGCTTTAGCAGCAGATAGTATGAAACTTAATAAACTGAAATGGAATATCCAAAGTATACATGAAGAGTTCATTGGCAAGAAAAGAGAATCTTCCAGAGAAAATTAAATACTTTTAATAAATAGCAAAACCAAAAAATTCTCAGAAACCATGTCTGCAATATCATAAAGATTACAAAGTTGCTAAGTATAAAAAAAGCCTCATTCAGAAGGAAAAACAGTAATGCTACTTAATATCTATTGATATTCAAAATAATGTTTGATGAATCGTATATAAACCCACAAATAATTTGATGGAAAGGTGAACTGGCCATATGTCTGAAGACCTTTTGTTCATTTAACTAAGAAACCAAAATTTCTTAGTTTTCATTTTAAGTGAATAATTCAACAGATATAATCTATTTATTCAAGTACATATATATGCTATGCTGTTGAAACTGATGTTGGAGATTTCTGACTTTAAAAATCTATTGATAGCAATCCTACATTAAGATATTTTCACTATAATGGGTAAAATTGTTTTTTACTGAAAATGACAAAATTTGGGAGAATTGTATTGGACTCTACATGAAAAGATTACAGTCAATGTCCAGATGATTAAAATGTGGCCTCTTAGGGAATCTGAACACATTGCATACTTCACAAATAATCACTTGTATCAAGGATTCAAGTTGTTACAAGTGTAACAGGGCGTGCACAAAGCTGACCTTCTTCCTTCTGGTCAACCCCTTGGGTATGACAGCTCTGAGTGGGCTTTGAACTTGACAGATTATAAACTCCCTGACTGCTCCCTGCTGCCATGTGTGATTCAGCACTCTTGTAGTCTTTGAGATGATGGAGCATTTATTGACTACTGAACAGGAAGAGCTAAAGTCTCTTTCACTTTTGACCCACTTCTCTTCTAGACATTTTATTCCAAAAATCCCCACAAAGCAGTCCTAGAAGTCTTTATATAGCCCTTCCCAAGTATCCCA